GTCCATAAAATGCGTTGCACAAATTCGAACATCTGGGGTGTGCTGTTCTGTTGTAAATAAATCTTAACCAATGATTCCTAATTGCATCTACTTCCGGAAGGCCAAATAAAGTGCTTTTGCTTTCACACTGAAACACAGCGTCTCCCTGACATGGCTGCATCAACACTACTGCTGTTCCTGAAACCACGCCTTCTTTCTTTTTTGCGTGAACATTTGGGTGGCATTATGCTACTATTTCCACATAGTGACGTAGACATGTGGGGGCGTGTTAGAACGAGCCGTTTTAGGTAGGCGTGGCTGACTCTTAACTTTTATAAAGAATATCTCTTTGGATTTGAGACTTTAGTCTTTGCAACTTTACAGATTTTCTTTATGCACCAAGAGCTTGTAACACTCCAAAGAGAAAGGAAAACTTGAAATCGCATCATATGACCCCTTTAAATTCAGATGAAATTTTGGCACAGTTAAAAGGAAACTCAGTTCAGAAGCATGCTGACTTTTCCTTTTCCTCCAAAAACAATACAACAATAGTTTTGGGTTTACTTAACCTGTTAATTGTGACAGGCATTGTCCATTCTCTTCCTGTTTCTGTTATCAGTCTATCAAGAACACAGTTTATTCAGGAAGTTCCATTCCTGATCCAGCACTCTAGGGGCCTCATTTATAAAATACTGCGTAGAAAGAATCCTAAATTTGATTTTATGATCATTAAGGTTGCTACTGTGAAAGCACAATTGCTTGTGTTGCTCTTCCTGCATCCTTATCAAAAAGGGGTGAAAATGACTTTAAAAACAAGACTAAATTAAAAGCCATGATGATGGACCATCTCAGGAAGGCACATTCGCACACATTTGAGGTTTTGCAGATTGTCACGCTTCCATTAAAACATGAATTTCTCATTGTAGGGCAAAATTCCCCACCAACAATGTAGTTTTTAAGTGGAACTTTATCAAAACAGAGTTTGAAGGGGAAAAGGAATAAGAAAATACTGTAAAATGTGGGTTGGATCCAGTTTGGATTGTCTAAACATATTTTCATATATATACTGTATATGTTACTAGGTACATTGCGACAGCAAATCGTTTCCTTTATAGCACATAGACCGTGTTCCTCCAGGGGATACAAGAATAACACACACTGTTTGTGTTCTGCTTCTGAACGCATCAAATCAAAAGTGAAGGTGAATTCATCAAACAGTTCCATTATGTGAACTTTGTGCTTCCTTTTAAAGGAAGTATAAATAGTTTCACCAAAAGTGTTATGCTGTCGCTTTGACCCCTTCTCAATACAAGTTAAGATGTTCTAATAACAGGATTCAGCTTTGTTCTCAGGAAATGTATCTTGGCATATTATATTTTGGCTTGTAAATCACACGTCTACTGGCGTTTATTCTTTTATGTACTTTCATTATTTCTCCATGTAGCCACTGCTAAATAAATGATTTTATATTGCAGATCCTGTGTAGTTTAAAGCGATATTCATTTCAATTTTTACTTTCATTAAACAATTGTGGTACTGTGTTGGGTCGCTGCTTGGTAAATCCAATGAAAATCTGGATCCTGAAGTAAAACCAGTGTGTTAAAAAGAACAAAAAAACATTTTAATGACTGGTTACCACAAAATTATACTATTATACTATTTTATTCAGAATTATTCATAAGTAAATATCAAAACAAATAAAAAAAATAAAAATAAAAAGGAAATATTTTTCTTCATCTAATATGATTCATCACAGTTTAACTGTTAATTATGATGCTGTAGTATTTTGAATTATATTTTAAAAAAGATGATCCAATATCTCATTATTGAGACTGTACCTGTCTGTCTCTCAAATGTGCTGACATCATATCCTGCTCTTGTGATTAGCATAGCTAGGGAAGCCAAACTGGGAGATCATGATATTGGAGTAGCGAAGCGGCATGTTCCCGTAGATGTGTGTCAGCTTGTTGAGACAGTAGGAGCGCTGCAGCATGTGCTCCGCTCTGTGCCACATGCCCACATACCCGCTGCTGGCTTCCTTCTCCAGATTCCGCATGTCTACGGGCTTCAGGAACACCCCTGAGGCCCGCTTGAGTCCGGACACCTGTGAGAGTTGACGTGCCATGGCAAAGTTCATGGCGATGTCGTCACAGTTCTGCGTTTGGACGACCAGAGTGTGTACTTCACCCAGCTGCTCTTGGAACAGCTGCAGTAAGCGCCGATGGAAGAACGCTGCACCCACCAGGATCATTGAATTCCTAAAGGAACCATAAAATTACATTTATTCTGCTGTATTGCAAAGCTGCACATTTAACATTCATAATATGATATATGGGTCAATAGCGTAAGACTGTCCACAACGAAAGGAAAATGTAGAAATAAAAAATTAAAATAATATTAACCCATTTAATCCCAAATTTTTCCCAGATATGACATATATGAATTTGTGTGATATTTGTAAGGATATTAAACAATCAATGTCAATTATTTTAAAAAATGATTGAAAAGTCCATGAAAAAATGGGTTTTATGTCTGGTCACAATTGTGACCGGTAGTAGAACACAGGGAGTCTAGGTCTATAGCGTAAATGCACTTTCAAAATGACAAATCTCCAGAAATTAGTTTAAAGACTGGTTTAAATTGTTGAAACAAGTATTTTATTCCATTAACAAAGAAGTAAACATTGTCTGACTCAGTTTCAAAAAGGACAAAACATCAATCTTATGCAGCAGTTTGGCACAAATAAATATATAAAATTATGACAAAATGACAAATTATAGGAACTTAGAAGGTAATTATTATAAACTTCATTATAAACCGAAATAAATAACATAAGTAAAATTACAAAATGAAAAAAACTTAAGGTTTTTCAAAATTAAGGAATAAGTAAAAAAAAAAATTATAAATAAACATATGATGAAATATGAGCCTATGGTAGGAAACATGTAACAATACATTAATATCAATCAACAGTCACAACTGTGCTGGTTTGGAACTCATGGATTAGATGAAACCTCCCTCAGACATAACAGTGGAAATATTAAAAAACAATCACAAATGTGTGCTGGTTTGGAACTCATGGATTAGATGAAACCTCCCTCAGACATAACAGTGGAAATATTAAAAAACAAATCACAAATGTGTGCTGGTGTGGAACTCATGGAACTCATGGATTAGATGACACCTCCCTCAGACGTTATGGAACTTCTTGAAGCACTCAATGTGCATTGGCCTGGCACACTTCTCACAGCCAAATGATGTGCGACCCTCACAGACACGACATCTGACAAACCTGTTTCCTGCTAAACAAAAGGAATACTTAGACATAGATTTCTATTTTGTATAGCTTTTGGAGCATATTTGCAGATGTTATGGTTCATAAAACATCTTTAAAGAATCTGCTTGCCTGTGTTTATTGGCCAGTGAGCAACACCATCAAACCTGGGTATATCAGTCACAGCAGCCAACATTGAGGATGGCCTCCCATGACCTTTTGGTGCAATACCAAATTTTTTCAGGAGACTTTGGGCGACTACTCGCTGAAATCCAAGGAGATCGTAGTCACCATTCATGACATCTCTGTGGAACAGCCAACTGTTGACCACAGCACTGTGGAGAGTCCAGGCATAAATTGGCCACCACCACTTTTTTTATCTTATTGTGCTGTGGTAACGAGACACCTGAAGATCATGTAGATCTACTCCTCCCATTTGCTGGTTGTAGGAGCGGATTATTTGAGGTTGCTGGAGGTAGTCATATGCCTTTCTTTCCTTGTTCCATCTCTTAACTGGTGCCTCAGAGTAGACATTTTCCACATTGCTTGCAACAGTGACCACACTGTTGTCTCTCCACCTCACCAGTAGCTTTTCTCCTTCAGACAGAAATTCAGTGGAGCCCCTCGGTAACTTCTGGAATTCCTTAATTGGTTTGAATGGCACATCAAACATCTGGTTTTGCCGCAGGGTCCCAGTGCACCCATATCCTCGCTTTGTCATCTCATCAATCAGGGATAATGTGGTGAAGAGGTTGTCATGCATGAAGTTGCATCCTCCTGGAACACCAGCTTTTTCAGCCAAACCCAGCACTATGCTGGGCCCTTGACCTAGCCCGGTCTTTGGAAGAAGGGTATGCACTCCAACATAAGGCTCCATGTGGTAGAGGTAACCCCCTGAAAATGCCAGGCTCCAAACCTTATAGCCATAGCGGATTGGTTTCCCTTTATGAACTGTTTGTACCCGTGGCGCCCATAGTAGGGAATCATGCTCTCATCAACTGACAGCCACTTACTGATTGGCAGAATTTTGTATGAGCTATTGAGCTCCTGAAAGATTGGCCTCACCTTAAAGAAGGGGTCATCGTTGCACTTTGTGTTGTCCACAACATGGATGGATGCCATAATTTCATCAAATCTGTTTCTTCTCATAGCATTGGAGATGCTGTTGTTGTGGACATCGTCATCTAGTGACCAGAGCAAATGCCGTCGTGGAACAGTACAATATCCAGAGGTGAGGAGCACACCATAGAATACCAGCAGTTCCTCCATGCTTAAATTAAGAGGTTTGTCTTTGTTCTGAACAGAGTAGAGATTTGACATTTCTATGGTAAACTCTCTCAGAGATGGTGGGTACATTGCTAAAAATACATCCAATGGATTTGCATTTGTTGCCTTTAGACATTGTGCTGCTGTTGGTTCATACACAATGTAGTCAGGCAAATGGCTTTTTGCAGTTTTTTTGGACTTTCTGAAATGTCTGCTCTTGTTGTTCCTTTTAATCAGAGGAGCAGAGATGCTTTCTGCCTTGGACACTGGTATGGTGGCAGTAGTAGCATCTGAAGATAACAATAAAGAGGATGAAGCAGCTTCAAGCTTTTTTGTGAGACTTCTTGTTCGGATTGTGAAGTTTGGTTGGTCCTCACAGGCAGGTTCAACCTCCTCAAAATGATCAGATCTAAACAGTTCTGCAGTATAATTCAAGATTCTTGATGGTAGGTGAGCGGAGTCACCAGTAAAATCCATGTCAGAGGCATCGCTATCACAGTCGCTTTCTATTGCATCCTTCTCTGTCTTTGGGACCACTGCTATATTGCAAATTGCAGGCCCTGGATCATCAGCATCAAGTAAATCCAAAACTTGACTTAAGGTCAGTCTGAAAGAGAGTTCATCAGAATAACACAGAATGACATATGGGGTACATAGACTCCCTGTGTTATATCCCTGTGTCTTCAATTATCAGCAGTTTGACAACAGAATAAACCATGTAATAATATAATTTCAATATGTATGTATAGATAACCCTTTAATGATGATGTATGCAAAAAATGTATAAGCTATTCAAAAATTTATTTGGAAAACTTTCATTTCTGAGCTTTGACATCATCCTTCCATTAAGATGGCAGTACCAGGAAATGAATGTGTATGGTCACATGGCCAAACTACCCAATCATGTTAGACCTGCCCTGAACTCATGTAGACATCTTAAATTTTCATTATATATATGAACATGTGCTTCATAATAAGAGTTGCTTTTTAATATTACAGAAAAATATGCGAGCAAAAATTGTGGTCATATATATATATATATATATATAAACTTCAAGCAGAAGTAGATTGTGAACTTGCTAAATGAATAAGTCTGCACAAAACCGCACACGGCATTCAGCAAATAGCCTAAAACTGAGAACATGCGTGTAGTTTTACAGATTTACTGTTTTATCATATTCACCAAATTCATACCATTTCCTTTAATTATATATATATATATATATATTCACATTTAAGCTAGATGCAGCAATTTGAAGTTAAAACTGTCTTGATGGATTTGTTTATTACAAACACAGTTTTTCACCTCACAAGACCTTAACTTAAAGACTAATGGAGTCGTGTTGTGAATTTTTGTGATTAATCAGCTGTTTGAACTGTCATTCTGATGGCACCCATTCACTGCAGAGGATCTATTGGTGAGCAAGTGATGTAATGCTAAATTGTAATCTACCTCTTGGATAGCCTGAGGGTGAGGACATTTTCAGCAAATTTTCACTTTTGGGTGAACTATTTTTTATATATATATATATATATATATATATTAGTAATTTTGTTGAGCGCTTTTGCCATTTTCATTAGTTTTTGGGCTCTTTAAAATATTATAATATAAATATTTATATTTAGTTTTATTTTAATTTCAGTTTTAGTCATTTTAGTACTTAAAATTTCTAAAACTAAAAAAAAAAGTGTGCTGTGCTTCTGACATTTTCATTAGTTTTGGGAGTTTTATATTTAGATTAATTTTGGTTTTAGTAATTTTATTTTACTTTTTATTTAACTTTTTAAAATGTTTGTTTATACTTTAATTTTGTTAAGTGGTTTTGTCATTATTTATTGATAAATTCTTGGGGAGTCGCACCACATGGCATTTACCAACCTGAACTAACTTTAGCTTGACATAAAAAGATCAAATTATTGGATTTGAATAGACTTACTGACCTTGACACCATCACAATGGCCTACAGGGGTCCTCTCAATGAGCATCTGAACACTGAGTATCTTATCTTATAGTGAACACTGAGTATCTTATAGTGAACACTGAGTATCTTATCTTATAGTGAACACTGAGTATCTTATAGTGAACACTGAGTATCTTATCTTATAGTGAACACTGAGTATCTTATAGTGAACACTGAGTATCTTATCTTATAGTGAACACTGAGTATCTTATAGTGAACACTGAGTATCTTATCTTATAGTGAACACTGAGTATCTTATAGTGAACACTGAGTATCTTATATTATAGTGAACACTGAGTATCTTATAGTGAACACTGAGTATCTTATCTTATAGTGAACACTGAGTATCTTATAGTGAACACCGAGTATCTTATCTTATAGTGAACACTGAGTATCTTATAGTGAATGCTGCCCGACTAGTTTCCGTGAAGTGGTTCGTTGAAAATATTCGTTCCTGCAGAGTGTGATCTATAGGGAGTGCAAAGGGTTTTCGTCAATGATTACACCTCGAATGTTTTTTTTGTATTGTATTAAGGATCTCCAGAAAAGCACATGATACGCACACTACAATATGGTTACGGTTCCCAGCAGCTGCACTGCGCTGTCATGTCCTACTGTACTAATAATATTGCCATGGCTCTTTTTGTTTGTTTGTTAGTGACACCAAACGTATACACAAAACGTTACTGGTAAAGAGTACAGTTTAGCAGTGTCAAATTTTCTTTATTGTCACTAGATTTATAAGAGCCCGGTCTTTTTACGCAAAAATGGACTTTGATACGCAATTTCTTGGCGTGCATATGATACGCAGTTTTATGGAAGGCCAAAAGTGCCAAAAACACTGAATTTTAACACATCAAATACGCGTCTTTCACGTGTATTTCACAGAGTGCGGCATATAGACACAGCCAAGTGTTACGGTTGTGAAGAGGCTTTGGGGAAAGCTGTGGTTGATAGTGGAGTACCACGAGAGGAGCTCTGGCTCACCAACAAACTATGGCCTGGAGATTACGTAGGGTGACCATACGTGCCATTTTCCCAGGACGCGTCCTGGCCAGGATTTCTATATTGCCTAAAATATCTAGGTTTTGGCTTTGTTTGCGTGTGCAGACCGATCGGTGTATGACATCTAAATACCATACAGACAGTTCCGTATGCTTTCAAAATGCTCTCGAGGTAATAATGCAGTTTACAATATAATGATTATCTTAATTCTCCATAACACCAATACAATGTTTATTTTCTACACTGTATTATAGTGAAATCCTATAAGCTTTTGTACATTTACAATGTTCTGAAAATTCAATATGTTCTATTTTTCAATGCAGTAACTACAAATACAGTTAAACTTGGCACTGCGTTTGATTTACTTGGAGGTGGAGTTACATCCCTTCCAGCAGCCACTGGAGCTGGTTGAATATTGCCGGAAGGAGAATATCGTTTTTGAAGGCTATTGTCCTTTGGCCAAAGGTCAAGTCCTCACTCATCCATCAATCATGGAGCTCACCGAGAAATACAGCCACAGCGAGTCACAAATATGCATCCGCTGGAGTATTCAGGTACAGTTTGCTTTTCAGATCCTCACCAGCTGTTTAAAGGAATAGTTCACCCAAAAATGAAAATCATCTACTCATCCTCAACCTGTAAAGTTTAAATGACTGTCTCCTATTAACTTAAGACCTGTTACTCTTCCTATGAAAGTAAACTCAAAGCTGGTTATGAGTCGCGTAGCTTACAACTGTAAGACTGTAACATTGTATAGTTTCATAATATTTGTGAAACATCGATCTGTTACACATTACAGTAATGCATCTGTGTGATGCATGATCATCTTCCAGCTGTTAGTTTTGATTTAATTTGATTATCTTTTCCAGAATGTCATACAAATGCAATTTAGAAGCAGCAGTTATAATGTTATGCATTCATTTAGCTCTACATTTCTTTTCAGAATGGGGTTGTGACAATTCCAACATCCACCAAACCAGAAAGGGTCCATGAAAACTGCCAAGTAAGTTTGTTTCTGGATCTTAAAGCTGCAAACTATAGGCAAAAAGAAAATAAGTAATAATAATAATAATAAAGGTTATACAAAAATATATCAAACTTTATAGTAATTAGCTGAAATAAGACATTTGTAAAAATTAACAACTCAATGGGGGTTATGCACAACAAACTCAGGTCTTTTGGATGTGCTTTATTAAATATGGAGCTGTTTTACTCAAGATGCCTTCAAATGAGATACCAAAAATGATCAGAACCGATGTCCATCATATGTGCAGATTGATATCAAAACGTTTATTTTTCTTCTCACTAACATTCTGATATTAAAATGGATTAAAATGCCAATAATAAAAACTAGCTAGGTTTGCCGATTTCCTTAAAAGTCCATAGATATCGCCATAAGTTTGTACAACTGTTAATACTTTTCCTGACAAGCAGATGCTATGAGACCAGTTTTCCGCTTTGGTCAGGTGATGTTCGACATATACAACAAAACAATTTTTATGTTGTACAACTACCAAGTAACTACACATTTTTCCTACACTTACTAAACCACGTCCACAGAAGTAAAATAATAATAAAAATTGCAAGTTACTACAGATTTTCTCCCTACTTAATAGTAAACCAATAATAATAATTGTGAATAATATAGATGTTTGTACCAATTTACAGGTCAAGCTATGGTCTAAGCTGATATATTTGATTGAATAATTTATCATAATTGAAGCCATCACTAGTTTCTCTTTGAGATCATCCTTTCGAAACCGCACTCATAATGTTGTGCTGTTCAGGTGTTTGGGTTCAGCTTGGATGATTCAGGACATGGCAGCGCTGAGTTTCGCTGCATGACGGGAGACATGTGAGCTGGGACCCAACTCATGTGGAATGAATGACCAAATCCAAGAAAACCACCTGGTCAGGTGAGCTTGGAAAACAACGAGAGGCTCAATCGCTCTAGTTTGTGATTTCAAAAAATGATCAAAAATGGTATCATATCTGAACGTAATTCTGTACGACAAGGGCTGCCCAAACTCGGTCCTGGAGGGCCGGTGTCCTGCAGAGTTTAGCTCCAACTTGCCTCAACACACCTGCCTTTGAGTTTCTAGTATGCCTAGTAAGATCTTGATTAGCTGGTTCAGGTGTGTTTGATTGGGGTTGGAGCTAAACTCTTCAGGACACCGGCCCTCCAGGACCGAGTTTGGGCAGCACTGATGTACGGGATATTAGCAGGTTACAGTTCAAGGATGATCTCAAAGACACTTTTAAATAACCAATTTCAGTGTTTGGGGTAAGTTACAGGTTTTGGGTTTTTGATTTAATTGAATTTTTCAGCTTCATAATTACTTCACAGGTATCTGGATTCCCATTAACAGCAGAAGACCTGGACCGAATTAGTGGTTTACACACCAGTCAGAAGCTGATTCATCTCACTTATCCAATCTGGAAAGGATAACCTAGCAATCAAAATCCAAGCAGTTTGTTCTTAGGATAATGACAGGTTCGGAACTCACTGTGAAAGGAACGGTTATTTCTGAAAGGAATCCACGATTTGAATGCTGCCGTCACACGTGTGCCATTTGAAAACTGGTATTTGGTCATGTTGAGTGACTGTTATTTGTGTAATGGTCTAAATCAGGGGTGCCCAAACTCGGTCCTGGAGGGCCGGTGTCCTGCAGAGTTTAGCTCCAACTCGCCTCAACATACCTGCCTTCAAGTTTCTAGTATGCCAAGTGAGAGCTTGATTAGCTGGTTCAGGTGTGTCTAATTGGGGTTGGAGCTAAACTCTTCAGGACACCGGCCCTCCAAGACCGAGTTTGGGCACCCCTGGTCTAAATATTAATAGTAACAATTAGTAGGGAGAACAGACGAGGGACAAGCTTACTAGTAACAAAACCACAGGTAAACAATCAAGTTGATATTAAAAGGATGCAATATCAGTTATGACATGTTCTCATATTGATTGTATATTATGCTGAAATGTGTCAAATTGTTGGTTAAACCAGAAATGCTGTTCTTTAGCAACGTTTATATTTCACACTCGTGTAATGCTCTGTGTTTGAGGTTCTCAGAAACCGCACTGTTGGGACTGAAATAAAAAGCAAAAAAATGGAGCCAGCACACATCTTTATAGCAGTGTTACCAATATTGTTTATTTCATCCCTCGCATTGCGAATCATTGTTGAACACAAGTTACATTTTCTTCTCAATAGAACAGGTTTCTGTTAAATAAATCTTGCCCTCTACCATCCAGTTTCACCTCCCTCTCTCCTTTTAAACAAACAAAAAAGCAGATTGTATTATACAAAAATGCAAACCAATTTTCACACAGTGAATTCTTTTACAAAGTCATAAAATGGCGTAATAATGGCTACATCCACATTGGAGTAAGATGGTTCTAAACATTCCTTAATGGAGTATAATATATATTTATATATAAAACCTTTCCTTGTTGAAATTGAGCCTGTACCTTAATTTAAGAGATTTTACAAGACAACTTGGAAGTAATCATAAAAAAGCCATTACATTTCCCAAAAAGTTAGGAATAAAACTAGACGACAAAAAAAGACAGCCATAACGGTGTTATAAGGTTCAAAATGAGTTAACTTGCATTTCATTTAAATTAATTCAACAGGTCTGTTCAAAACAGACACAATCCAGTCAGAGAAATGAATATCATCCATCAGGAACAGACCCATTTCTCAAAGAAATCACATTATCCTGCAATTTCTCACTTGAGGAAAAATAACCTCATGCACATAACTGTAAATGAGCCTTAACTGAGTCGTTTCCCATAAGTCGCTGTGTGTGGATGGTTAAACAAATGAAAAATATCCACGCAGAAGTCATTAGCTCAGTGAGATCACTGATCATTACAGGGAAAAACAAAACAAAAAACCTTCTACAGCACACAAGCAAGTGCCAAATATTAAATACAAGATTCCCATACAACCCAAAGAGTCAAATATAAGCAGCTTCCTGGCAGTGCATCACTCGAGAATGCTTACATTAGTATAGCTTTGGGCACTTTGAAAGCCAAACAAAAAAAATCTCCGCACACCGAGCGCTGGCTAAAAGTTTGCCTGTTGTAGCAGCGATTAGCAATGCGAAACAGAATGCTCGTCAAGCTAGCGCTGGCGCCTAACAAGAACCAAAGAAAATCCAATGTTAGCGAAGGCGGCAGCATGTTAACTCACGCAAAATGAGTTAACTTGCATTTCATTTAAATTAATTCAACAGGTCTGTTCAAAACAGACACAATCCAGTCAGAGAAATGAATATCATCCATCAGGAACAGACCCATTTCTCAAAGAAATCACATTATCCTGCAATTTCTCACTTGAGGAAAAATAACCTCATGCACATAACTGTAAATGAGCCTTAACTGAGTCGTTTCCCATAAGTCGCTGTGTGTGGATGGTTAAACAAATGAAAAATATCCACGCAGAAGTCATTAGCTCAGTGAGATCACTGATCATTACAGGGAAAAACAAAACAAAAAACCTTCTACAGCACACAAGCAAGTGCCAAATATTAAATACAAGATTCCCATACAACCCAAAGATTCAAATATAAGCAGCTTCCTGGCAGTGCATCACTCGAGAATGCTTACATTAGTATAGCTTTGGGCACTTTGAAAGCCAAACAAAAAAAATCTCCGCACACCGAGCGCTGGCTAAACGTTTGCCTGTTGTAGCAGCGATTAGCAATGCGAAACAGAATGCTCGTCAAGCTAGCGCTGGCGCCTAACAAGAACCAAAGAAAATCCAATGTTAGCGAAGGCGGCAGCATGTTAACTCACAAAAATTTGGACAACTGCAGGGAGGAGGAAAATTCTTTTTCAGACTCCCAAGCAGAAATCTATAAAAGCCTTGCCACGTAACTATGCACACGCCTCTATCGATGAGACGTCAAAATAAGCCGCTGAATTGAAACGTATCCTGCTCAGTTTTAAGCGGTTTGCAATTGTTTTGGTTTCCCGTTTGAATATAAAAGGGAATTCACTGAGCGCATTATATCCTCCTGGTGTAACGTTCCTCAATTTAGAAAAATATTTACCTAATTTTGAAAGTTGATCATTGCGCATAATTGCTAATTGGAGGTGGCACAGAAAATTCTAGAAAGTGTAATTTCATAAAACCTCATAAGAACATGCCCAGGTCATATAATTATTATGGGATGAAATAATTTTCATTTTCATAAAAATGTCAAAGTAGTATTTATATTGCATTGACATTTCTTGAAAAAGTATAGTTCTTTTTTTTAATCATTGTAAATGAATCCAAAAAATTGCTGTATTTAAAAAAAATAATGCTAGTAAGTCTAGTAGTAGTAGATTTAACTAAAACTCTGTTTTACATTTTTTGTGTAAAGCATACTATATAATATATTGAAGTATCGATATTGGCCCTATAAATAGTTTTCCTTTATATTCCTTGCTGAAATGTGACCTGGACATGTTTTTACGAATTTCTCTTAAATTATTGGGCTACAGAGCAGCATTGAACCACAGGAGAATGTGGAAAGCTCTAAATCCAGTCAGAGGCCAGATTCACCAGAAGGGAAGCAAGAAGCTCAGCTAAATCATAAGCTACACAACACATCTCATATTAGGCAAAGCCTTAACTAGTTTACGGGATCTTCAACAGCATGAAATAAAAAAACTACGAGAATTCAATTTCCACGTCGAGGAGGGGGAGGAGGTAACAATTTAGCAAGGAGAAAGACGACATTCTGGAGAATTTCCTCAGTGAGTGCGATGGACATCACGTGATAAGTTTAACCTCGATAGTAAGGTTGACGTCATCTCTGCATGTCGGCACAGCTGGATTTCTATCTCGGCGACTGCTTGAAAAGGCTGCGTTTGCTCTTTGACAAGCAAGAACAAATAATGACTACAAGTCATCGTAATAAGAGAAATCAACTATATCACCACGGCTATAGCACAAAAACCACAAAAGATTACACATTAAGAGGTTGCACCCAAAATTGGAGCTGTATATCATAGTCGGTCTCAAGAGACTAGAACAAAAAGTCACACGTGAAGAATGTCATCACTGTAGGAAGACTTCAGACTTCGAATAATCTTGTTCTCTTCATTTACGGGGCCTCGTTTGGAAACAGTCATTGGGTTTGTTGTGTAAAAACCCTTTTAAGTCAAAGCAGGATGATGGAGGATAAACTCAACAGGCCTCGATTCACGAGTCGCATTGAATATTCTGCTTATCTCGTTTCTGCAGATGTTCATAATCATCTCTGAAGAATTGATTCCAAACTAATTTTGAGTTTACACAGAGGAAACCTAAGACATTAAATAGCTCCTCTATAATGAACAGCTGTCTGGATTTTTATTTAAAGGGACAGTTCACCCCTCCCCCCCTTGTAAGGGTAACTGAATCGTGACAGAATTTGCCTTTTTGGTTGACCTATCCCTTTAACAATGTACAAAACTGTAATGCGATCATTTAGCGCTATGGAACCTGGCATTGTCGAAACTACTGCCCTGGTGTACTTCTACGTAGCGGTTTAGTGGCTAGACTCGAATATGCAAACTCGACCAGGAGAGCCAAATATGCAACTTCACAGAAGTTAGGGAAAGCTGATGAAATAATTTCCTAAAAGGCTGTAATCTTTCGAAAAACGACTGTGCCGCTGGGAGAAACAAAACTCATCCCGACCACAGTGCTCTGAAGAACACAAGGGAAGTGTTGCACCTCTTCTACTAAAAAGCACACACACTCATGGAAATTTTTCAAGACATCCGTTTGCATTCTATAAAACAGAATGCTTTAGACACGTGTCACCACACATTTACAAATTCTTTAACAGTTATATAGCCAAACCATAAATTAAACAAAACCTGACAACTGATTATATATAGATATATCTCTCTTCCCCCTTGTGTCATCCAGAGCCCAATCGAATTGCCTTACAGCAATACACTGCCACGGTCTTGTGTCATGTGGGGAGACCCGTGTTAACAGTCCATAAAAATGGATTCATAAAAGGTTCTCCATGCTACTTTAAACCTGGTGAGTCAGATCATATTCAAGGCTGCAGAGATCCAGGGAGTTGAACATTTCCACAGAGCCCCGACCGCACAATCAGCAACTAGCCCCGATGCTAAAAATAGTGCGCTCGATTCTCATTTTGATTCCACTAGTTTGTGTCATCCTGTCTGTGCTAGCTTTGGGTTGACTGTTCTTTCTTGATATAGAGGGAAAACAACAAAGTAAGCATTATTCAGATGCCCTGGTTTCCAGGCGATGAGAAGTCATTAAAACAAAAAGCTCATTCACAGAACAAAAAGAAAGAAAATGTTTATCACGGCAGATACTGCTCATTTTTCTAAATAAAACAGAAGTGTGTGTCGGTGCATGCATGTAGCAGCATGCAGGTGTGTGTGTGTGTCCCTCATATCAGCTCCATCTGAATATTAAAAACACATCTTGTGTCTCTTGAAACTGGTTCGAATTAGTCAAGAGATTAATTTCAAAGCCCTCTGAGAAGGAATATTGACCTCTGGAGAGGTTGTCTGTCTGTGTGTGTGTGTGTGTGTGTGTGTGTGTACTCTTAAGAGCAAGAGTGAACAACACCATTCTTTTGAAGGTCTGAGCTACTCGCTGCTTGGTCAGCGGAGCAGAGGGTGAGAGAAGACGTCTTATTGGTCAGCGAGAGCATAGATCCACCCATACTACTGGCTGGCTTCATGCCACTGGATCCATTAGACACCTCACTGATGGAAAGAAGAGGAGAACATTCAGAGAGAGGACTATATTTTGTGGAAACATTATTCAAACATGCCTACTGGCTAACAGAGCAACATGAACAGACAACAAAAGGGGCTGTTTTAGGTCTTTGCTGATGGTAGCCTGAGGGAATAGACTGCTGAGCCTAACAAGACTAACAAGTCACAGTGTAATAGTGAACAGATGTAGAATGGAGATCTAGGTTCAATCTAGGGCTGCATTTTGTTTACTTAAATATTCTCAATTTTGAGTAATTCTCTCAAATTGTCTAAACATTAAGTGTACACAATTAATTACTACATTATAAGTTTACTTATAATTAATTTAAAATGTTAAACGTAATTTTAAATATACAGACTAATAACAAATATTTTGATAATTGACTAATCTAACCATTATTAGAAAGATTAATCGACTATTTGGGTGATATTTGCGCTTATGTTGACAAACTTTGATACATGATGCATTACAAATAAAAGTAGTGTAATACCAGTTGTGCAAAATGGAAATATTCACATATGAACATAACTTCTAACAGTACTCAACAGGACTGAGTCCTTTAAGGTGACATTTAGTCTAATTAGATATCTGCCAGATCTTTAGAGGAAAAGCATTTGTTTGTTAGGGGCCGTTCAGACAGAATGCACTTTTTTTTCCATTTAGAAATGTGAGAGGGCAATGAAATTAAAATTAAACTGTCTTTTCAAACCTTCTATCTCATTATATTTGAGTTGGCTTGTGTGTTTTGTTTCATGTGATGTAATTTCTGGTAAGGGAGCATAGTAAGTATTAGTGTTCCATAGTTTTTGCAGTGCATTGTGGGATTTCTCAGGGAGTGAACATTCCAGTTAACTGGAAGTATTTCACGATTGAAAGCCCTTAAATTGGCCGGCTCCCTGATCACTGAACTAAGGAGCTGACTGAGACGCACTCTCTGCTTCTAGTCAGTCTGAAGACCTTGGAAGGCTGGTTCAGGTGCGTTTAATCAGGGTTGGAGCTAAACTCTTCAGGACAGTGGCCCTCCAGGAGCAGGTTTGGACACCCCTGGTCTAATGCATGTTTATAGAGAAAAACAATGGAAAAGTAGCGTAATAAAATGCAAAACCGTGTTGTGTGTGAATGGCCTCTTTCCCCACTCACCCCAATGCTAAAGAGAGCTCCTCCAGCTGGGCTTTATGGTCAGTCTGCCCATTCTCAGCGGCATTCAGCTTGTATTCATGGGCCACCTGGTTCTCCTTCAATCATAGGAACATGTTCAATTAGCTTAGACTAGATTAGTAACACTTGTACAAAAAAATAACCTCACAAGGAAAATAAATCACTATCGGTGGCCGTTTGACTCACAATGGTGATTTCACGGGTTCTCTTTTTGATCTCCAGCTCTACGTGATCAAGCTCCAGGCTGAGCTGCTCACTAGACACAGTGCCACCTGAAGACCACTTCACTCCAGCCGCAGGCTGAGATGCCAGCGCACACGCCTGTGTGTGCATGCGAGAGGTTTGTTAATACTACTGAATAGAAGACTATATGAATAAGAATACATGAATATAAGGCTGTACATTGTAAGTCATGAATTTGGATGGAGATTTCATACACACCTCCATGCCGCGTGTCTGCTGACTGATCTGTTGGTTGACTTGCTGGAGCTCAATCTTGAGCTGCTCGCGGTCAGAGGCAGACACTGGCAGACTGGCAAAAACACGAAAAACAATTCAATTATATTTTAATTGAAAAT